TTTTCTGTGGGTTTCTGATTTGATCTGTAATTTTGTTGCAATTTAACCTTTGATAGATATCAGAACTTTTTGTCATCTAAGAGGAATTTTTTTTAAACTATCGCAAGCATAAAAAGTGTCAATACAGAATGAAATCTTCAATCTTTGCACTCTGCTCTAGAGATAAGAAAATGATCATTTTTTTCCATGGTTTTTTGTAACAACATCCACCCTCTTTTTGTATGAAATTATCACCAGTATTAAATGCCTGAATAAAACACAAGGGAAGCAAGTCAATCGGGGTGTATATTACTGGAATCTGTGAACAATAAAAATCCTCTTAATTGAATAACAACTGATTAATGAATAAGACTATAGGAGAGCCTTTGCCTCAGAATTGCTGAACTGAAAAAATTGGAATTTGCAGACTAGCACACACGTCACTCTAGCCGTTATATAGTTGGTTTAAAAACCTCAAAGCTTGCAGAGTGAAGAGTCGTAGTGCCAGTGTGTTTATACAAGTACCAGCACGCGTAACACTAGCTCACCTGAGAAAGCTGATACCAACTCTCCACCTGATAGTCCTATACCTGGGACAGTTGAACCAGTTAAAATTTTAAAACATTTTGGGATTTTATCTGAAACTCTTCAAATTCAAATTCTGGACGATCAAGAAATTTCTTGCAAAAAATCAGGTAAGGATTGTAACAATTTAATTTGTTGCAAAATTTAATTCTTGCCTCAGGATATATTAAATGTGTTTTGTGAACATACAATAAAGTAAATGTAGGATGTTTATACCTTTATTGGTTCATTATATGGCTCTCGAAGAGTACACTTGAAGCCTATAGGTTGTGGTAGAGTATATGCATTGAAGTCTTCTTAGGTATAAAGTGCAGGTGAAGTGCTTTATTGTTCTAGCCCAACTTTGTCATAAATGAGAAGTGCATACAAACTTTTCAAATGAAACAGTTGGCATATTGTCTGCTACTTTTAAACAAATAAAAACAATGAAGTTGAAAGATAGTTTCTGATGTGCATAAAAAGAGAATCAATTAATTCTGTTTATCTGATGAATATCAAGTTTGACATTTGATGATAATGTCTTGGCATATTTTGACTTATTTAAATGTATGTAAAATTTTTAGTTAATTATTTACAAATGATATTTGACCAACAATATTTGTAATTTTTTAATTTTCTGAATCATAGTTTAAGTACAATTGGAAGATTTTTTTTTTTTTGGTAATTTAGGTACTTCATTTACTGGTACTTTGAAAATCAGTTTACCTGTTTTACATAGGCGTAAAAAAATATGTGCAATATATCTTTGCTCCAGTATCTGGTTTGGTCTTATATCTGTTTTTTTTTCCATAAATCACCATTCACAGTAGGGGCCTTAGGTATCTGGTGTTGACTATGTAGAACTTTACACAGAGACCTTGTCTAAGATTGTATGATACTATTTGGCAGAAGATTCCATGCCTTATCAATTTCTCATTTCTCTCTCCATCTCCTTGGGGAGATTAAAGTAAAAATGAACTCTGATGTAAAATGAAATTTTTAGAAATTATTGAATGCATGTTTTCTCTCAGTTATTTTGTACATAAAAAAAAATGCTGTATATCAGTTGCATTTATTTTTTATGTACACAATCATGATGAGAGTGCACTTTTTGAAATGTGAGGGAATTTTTTGCAATTTTCAGTTTTACAAGTAAATCTTCATTACACTTAAAATTGATTAATTATAACGGGTATTGCACATGTAATATTCTATAGTATAGAACAAAAAGGGGCTAGTGTTTTTTGGTTATAACAGCTATATGGATGTATGTACTCCCAAACCTGTACCCAGTGAGTGGAAGATACTTGTCTTTTCACATGGATTGATGGAGAATTAAACAGTTCTGGAATTTACATTGGCAATTTTGCTGATTACACAAGTTTGTGGCCGGTGGCCCATTGGAATGGTGCCAGTGTTCGGATCTGAGCAGTTCAATGCTATTAGCACATTAATTAACAGAGTGTAGTCTATTGATTGGGAATGCAGGTTCACACAGGGATTCTCCTGTGTCATTGCCCTTACTGTAACCTCCTAGATTTATTGTGGGTCTCAAATATCATAACAAGAGGAGCTAAGACATGTCAACATCTCAGGGGGAAAATACCAGTATCTGTCTGTAGGGAATACCTGCTTGTTAGCAGTTTGTACCCTGATGAGAAAAAAGATACTGGCTCACTGGTCTAAAAGAACTACTATTCTAATCTGGTTATCTTTTTATTATATTCAAAGTTGCATGTTTGCAATAACTAAGTGTAAAGCATTCATTGTAAATAAGGTCTTGAACTACAGCATTCATTGCATTTGAGTCAAATACTATTGAATTTCTGATTTGAAATGTTTACTTAGGTATATATAGAATAATGTAGCTATCCAGACTTAGTTCTTGTACACTGACTTATTTGTAGTCTTGAACAAAGTTTAGATAAGTCAAGTGTTTTAGCAGGAGGACTTGTATTTTGCAGTGGGGGTATATATTGATTTAAAGATTTCAGGAAGTTTAAGAGGGTTTTTGCTAAAGGTATTGACTCATCCTACTGACTGAGTCCAAGGGTTATTGTTGTACCTTGTGTAGTATATAACGGAACAAAGAATGCAGAGTAATGCTGGATTTGCTGTTTAAAAGTCATTAAGCAAAATCTGTATTGTATCTGAAATTTTATCTTCCATTGCAAAATCGCCTTTAAAAATTTGTCAGTTAAAATCAATTCAGGAAATTGAATAGGGTTTTATGGTTTACACACACTGACTTGAATAGCTACATTTACATAAAAACCTTAAGTTATCATTTAGCCTTGACAGTAACCACTGCATTAAAAAGAATGATTGCTTTGGAGTTTCTTTTGAATAGAGCCAATATTTTCAGCAGGTATTAACCCAAAATTCAATCACTACGTGTTATTCCCATGTGAGCTGAGTAGACAAAATCTATTGGAGCAACACTAGAGATATTGATGAAAAGAATTTAATTATTTGTATTTGTGAAAGTTCCTAGCTGCAAGTCAGTCAACTGACAGTATTCATTATCCTTAATGAAACCAGACTTTGATAATCAAAACAGCAGCCTTTCAGTAAGTGCTGGGGTCTCAAAGGGCCATTGATGATGTACTGCCAGACTACTAATGGTCTGTAGTTTTATGAAGTATTACATGATATCATAGAATCGGTACAGTAAAACCATATTTTTTTTAACTCAATAGGACCAATAAAAATTCAAGGTATCTGGGGAGTAGGGATTTGCATTTCATTAAGGGTAAATTTACTTAAATAAAAAGTGGTTGGAGTTTAAGAAGTTACTTTTTCATATCCATGGTATTGAGATATTGGTGTTAGAGAAAACAAAGTTCAAATGTATTATGCAGGTGTGCACACATTCACAACTTAGTGCATACCTATATGATTTTTGCAATCTTGCAGGATTGATTAAAAGTTGTCAGTAAACAATAACATGTATAAAGAAGTATTTCTAGTATGAGGATTATATATGGAAGCCAAACCCTGCAGTATAATTAAATATATATCCTATTAATCTTGTTATTCAAAAATAAACTTTATTTTTGGATTGGTGTGGTTTTGTAACCTTTGGCAAATGTTCCAAATTAGTTAATTTTTAATGAAGGTTATAAGAATTGTCAGATTGCCACAAACTTCAATATTTACTATGAGAAATATATATTGGTCAGTATCTTGATTGTTTTAAACTACATAGGACTGGGTGTTCTTATAAAAGGTCAGTACAAATTTTATTTTTTTTAGGGGAGTGAACGAAATGTTGCATCAAAATTTTGAGGTACTTTTTGACAAGGATTTTTATGGAACAATTAGCTTGCAGTTATGGTCATTCAAGAAATTTTCAGAGTGACCAGCGGTGTTGTTTCCAACCTTATTTCTGACCCTGACTTATCTTGATATTTATTTAAACAAGCTGACCGGCTGTTTATCTGTTTTGGACATTTCGTAATCTAACAGCATTCTGTCAAGAGAATCTCTGTATGAGTGGTAAACAATTCATGTCTTGGCCTTGACATGTCTTATTGACTTCACCTCTGATATCATATGGTCCCTTCAGGTCATTGAAGTGCAGAAATGCAGACCAACATGGGTCCAGCTTGAAATTCTCTCGGCAAATAAATATATTTTGAGAGTGACCACACTAGTAAAATGTTTATCAATTTGACACTTAATGACGTCTGACTCTACCTTATGAATGTCGCAGAGTTGCTGTCTCCTATTTATATTTATCATGTTTACTTCTAAATACATGCAGTGGATTATATAGCTCATAGGAAATTAATTGCATGTTTTTATATCCACGCTGTCAAGATGGTTTTATATGATTTTGATCAAGTCAAATATTTTGAAAATTAACTATTACGGTACTGTGTTAAACGTGTTAGATACCAGTAGCTGGATCTGTGTAAAAACTGTGACAAAAGGAATCTCCTATGGTTTGTGGTTAGACATGATTTTTTTTCCCAACATGTGTGTTTTTAACCACTTGTAAAGGATACTTGTTGGATAGAAAACCATATATCCAGCTACAAACCTTGGGAGATCCCTATATTTATTTTTGCAATTCATGATCATGTCTATAAAATGTAGATAAATTGTATAGGATTAAAAGGCATTACAAGAAGTCAGTATTATGGTTGAAATAAAAGCCTGTTTTGTGACTTTTTTTTACCCAGTTTCTGATGATAACTTGGCACATCCGTTTCTGTAGACAATCAGATCTGTAATCATACATCCACTCTTTTTCTTGGTAGCCCCCTTGTCCTCATTGTAATGGCAGAAATCTGATGTTTATTAATTGGATACAGCAGAACTCATTTCCACTAGTGCGCTCAATCTAGCAATATTGATGTTGTGAGATGGCCATTGATTCCCGCTGCGGTATTTCTTAATCCTGAATTTTACCCAGTGGTCATTTGGTAGCTCAGCAAGAACCATTATTGGTTGTGTATTGGATTTGGTATATTTGTATGTACAATTAGGTTAATTATGGAGGATGCATTTCTAAGTATATTACAAGAAAGTTAGTGTTCTTGGATGTGTTATTTTGGGCAGGCTTTCGTGTATTGTTGCGTCAATTAGGGTCGCAATTGGAAGTTATTTGTAGAGAGGTGGAATCTATGATGGGAGTTTTGTGAATGCAGAGTTCTTCACAGCAAAACAGTGACGTAAAACTGAGATTCATCTGAAGTAGGTGCTATTTATTATATATCACATGACTGAAACACTGGCCAACATCAGTTATCAAAGGCTTCAGGTAGGTATTTCCAAAAACCATGGCAATCAGTGCATGTAGACAGCATTACAGAACCTTGTCACCTGACATCCAATTATTCATTCATCTAATAACGCCTTTCACTAACTCACTAGTCATCCCCTGGAGAGCACTGACTTGAGCTGCTAATTAATTTGGCCTTAAGACTATCTAAACTTAGCCAAAGAATAAAAAGATAGGTATATTATTCAGGATGGTGCACCAAATGTGCAGTGTTCAGTGAATAATTATATATAAAAATGATGAAGTATTAGATCATAAGGCAACTTGACATTAAAAAATAAAGTTAAAAATATGTAAACTTGCACCGAATTGTCATATTTTTGACAGTGGTCTTAAAATAACTTTTCTGTAAAAGTATTATAAGCTATTTTGAGCATATTATTAATAATTTTGTGACAGCATAGTGGTGACAAAGTTGTTAAGGTATGGCAGTGGTTTTACACAGTTTTCATGGTATATTGACATCAAAGAGCTAGTGTTCAATGCTCTGGGTCAGCTTAGTAACTCTGGAAGAGCATATTCAACAACTAGACTATAGGTTTATGCTTTATAAATGCTGTTTTAGTGATAAAAAGCTTGCACTTAATTAAACCGTGTGCATACAAAATTTGGGACTTAATTTTTGTTTGCCTAGATAAGAAATAATGTGGTACACAATTTTTCAATTCATCAAGTCCATGAGGATACACTGACTAATAGGTACATGTACTTTCTTGATGGAACAAATAGAATTCTGAATTTATTTATTTTGTATGAATTCTCACATTCGTTCATTTTTTTTACTTTCTGAGTTTTTTTATGATTTTACTTTTTTTCCCCAAATTTGTAACAAAGGTAGAAAATTAATGTTCACCATAAAAGTACTGAAGCATTCATTAAGATGTCAGAGTGGGAAGTGAGAAGTCATTAATTTCTTGTCCTGACATAATGTTTATTACCAAGAATGTTCCTAAAGAGAAAACTAGAGGATAAGAACTTTTATTTTATATTTTTAATTTAAATTTTAAATGTCTATGAACTTAAAATATGTTAATTTGGATGAAAATTGGATGAAACTGGGACCAGAATGTATGACCTCTGAACTTTAGTGTCTACATCTTTCAAGTTTATACACCATGAACAAGTGACAGTTATTATTGCTCTGAGTCCACTGTTCTGTATGGTTCAGAGGAATCAGACAAGGAGATGCTTCTTCACATATGTAGTTGCTGGTTGTCAAAGATTGTATTTTATAAAACCAGAGGGATGCATTGTAATTGGTTGCCAAAATTTGAGGACCTACAAGTCCATTGTATTTAAGTGCAAAACGGTTACCGTAATCAATTATTTGTCAGTGTTGTGGTCAGAATTTCAGAAAAATAGAGAAAGGTGTTAATTCACTGCAGGCTATCTTCCATATCTGTATGCTCTCTGCTTCTACTACATGTTGATCCTTCAAGTTATTATGACCATATACCAAATACTATATATTTTATGCTATGTATTACATTCATCTCAAACTTTTAAAATTGCCAAAATATTTTATGTGTAAAATATTTAGAACACCACACTATCAGTACTTTACATTATTCTGAGAAGCTTAATTGACATTTTATAAAGATTAAGCATACTTGTTACCATTCCTTTCTTGATTGAAAGTGTTTCAAAGTGTTATTCAATCATATTGGGATACTTCTGAGTTCTAGATGTTGTAATCTTTTTTATCATTTATTGAGGTACCGTAATTACATGTCTGGCTTTTAAGCCAAGGATGGCTATTTGTGAGAGTAGAAGACACATTAGATGATGTGATGGACCAATGGTGCAAATTGATTTTTCCACAGAACTTGGGTTGTTTGAGGGCCATTTTATCTTTGCCTCTGCTTCATTAGAGACACAATTAGAAGTGGCCTGTGTTTTATCTTGGCAGGGTTAATAAGCTTCCTTCATGAGTAAGTTCATCTAAGAAGATGGTGCCAAAGGATGGCTTATGAAATATACAGCAAAAATAAGTGTCATTGATCGAGTGGTTTTTTGGCATAATACCATGGGGTGCCAGATTTTAACATGCATGAACTCTTGGTTTGGCACAGTGTTTTGTGTAGGCACAGAGTTAATTGTACAGTTGGAATTACAACAATAGAGTGTTATTGAAAATAATATTGCACATCAGCTTCAAAGAAAAAGAGTAGATGTAAGTTAAATTCTGAATCTCAAGAAAATTTGGATCTGTTACTTTGGTTGATGTAAACAATCATCGAGTAATGCAAGGGTAATACAGTGTGTAAGTAAATATGTAGCCTTGCTAGCTTAAATAGTAAAGAATTTTATTCCTTTTCTTTTGTAGTCAAATATTTCATAATTTTAACAATATAAAAAACCATAATTATCTTGATGAATTGTTGTCAAAATTAGAAGAGACTAAAGCGATCATGGCTATGCATGTAGACTAATTTTTAACTTAAAAAAGGAATGTGACAATCATTTGCTGTCATTATGTAAGGCTGATGTTGCACTTCACTGCTTATGTAGGTCAGGGTGATCTAAGTTGAGAGGAGGGGTCATCGACAGTACTGTACCTGACAACATTTATATTGTCATCTGAAACTTTTTTATCCCTTTTTGGCAAGATTTAAATAAATTAACATACATCAGAGCAAGATGTCACTAGGTATACACTTCCTTCAAAAGTTGTTATATAATGTATAGACCAGAACTTCGAAAATTCATTTATTCATTGCTTTTTTTTCAAATTTTTAACCTAGGTCCAAAGTCTAGATATGGAGAGAAGCAAAAGCTAGTACAACCCAAAAATAGCAGTGTGTGTGAGATTAGAGTTTATTTAATCAAGAGTTGATGAATTCCTGATTGGTCAATGTAAACGAACTGATTTTATAGAAATTACAAGCATACCTAGGGCTTCATTAGAGGAATTCATCAATAACTTGGATGATGAAGGAATGAGGTACTTCACAAAAGATAAACTGATGTCATCTCTTAGACAGGCTAAAACATAATATACAAGGATCAAGGAAGTTTTTCTTATATTGGATCTTTAGAGTAGGGTTTGATGTTTCCCTAAGGATTAATTTGAATGATAACTGTGAAATGCACACTGCAGATATTTATGTACAATAGAGCCCAATAGTTCAATAGAAATTGCAAAGATATGCGAATTTATAGGGTTTCCCCATTGCTATCAAGAATTTAGGGTTATTGATATAGGTAGGGATTTTTTTTATTCTTTGGAAGTTCTCTTCAAGGTTAATAGATTTATGAGGGAGTTTACAGAATTCAAGAGATATTGGAATTTTTCTGCAGCACAGAAATGATGTGTTACAGCAGATTACTGACATTTGATTTAAATAAAACATTTGGAGCTATAATTTACCATTTACTATTTGAGGTTCCTTAACTGTGTGTAAGGCATTTTATTAATCTGAATTTACTTGAGGTAATACAATTGATTGCATTAGATTTTGATTAATGGAGGATTTCCCAATTCTGCAAAGGTTGTCCATCAAATCTGGACGGTTTCCTATTGATTTTGCAGCATTCCACTTCTAAACCCTGAGGAGGTAACTGAAAGGGAAATCAGAACAAGTTGTATGTCACTACCAGTAATAGACTAATTGCAGAACTTTCCAGTCCGAGTCATAATGGGGCCAAATTAACAAATAGCAGTTGCTTGACAGTTTGCTAAATTTGTTTTCAAAAAAGTATTTGTAGTTTTTGTGATTAGGAAATGATGCTTAATTAAATTCCATTCTATTCTAAATTTTAAATCCATTCCTTTCTTTAAAATTAACAAAAGTCAGTATCAGATGCTTCATTAAAGGGCTAACCTTCAATCTGTTAACTACATCACAACCTATCAGGACCTTTCTAACCTTTGACAGCCAAACCCTAGGGAATGTTCTTTCAAGATTATTGCTCAGCTTCAATTCTGAGGAGTTACTGAACTACTAGACAGCTAGTACTCCATACCTTTCAGCTCTTATTATCTTGAACAACCCACATTTGTCAGAATATTAAAATTTACATTATTTCAGTACTTTGATTTCACTTGGAATTTTTGTTTTAGATTTCATAAACTTATAATATGTGACTTAATATGAATAGAAACCTCCCATTGTTTCTATTCATGTATTGATAATATTATGATCTTATTCATTTAGGCACACTATTTCAAAGACATAGTATCATGTCATATTAAACAAACTTGCACTGTGTTAGCTCTACAGAGAGATTTGGGATTCAAGTCGCTACTTAAAAGCATTTATTAATTTGCTGAATAACTAAATTTAAATGGAAATTTCCTTTTAAGACCAGACTCGTCTCAACCTGCTAATTAATACAGCATGACAAATCACTCTGTCCTTAAACTGCATATTAATAAAACTTTCATGAAAACCGATGAACAGCTAACATGCCACACAATTTGGGTGTTGTCATATTAAATTTTTGATAGTCCAGATTTCAAATAGCAAGAATCGACTCATTAAAAAAGATTTAAATGAAGAAAGAGCTCCTGCAGTGTATATTAGAGCTGATGAGTTTACACATGCTTGTTTGACTGGGTTAACTTGTCCTGTGTTTCATTAAGATGAGGATATGATTCTCACCATCTGTTACCTATGGGAGGAGGATTTATATTTGTGTAGGTTCAAATTCATACAAAAACAGCAATCCCTAAAGTAGATTCTCAATGAAATATTGATAGGAGACATGAAGAAAATAATTGCTTTTGTAGAGAGACGTACACTGATTTCTCTGATGATTGTAACCCTTCATTCTAACTTCTCTTTAAGTTTTAATACTTTATTTGCTCTGGTAGTTTTGATGAGATTTTGTAATTTTGAAGTCCTTGTAAAATCTGTACACTTTTTGTGTAGAAATTGTACAGTAAAAACCTCAGTTGATAGAGCAGCACATAAATTTTCACCCAGGTAAGACCACCTGTCAAAGAAAAATATACACCTAATCAATTACACCTTGTT